CTTATCAGGTCCAGGTGACTTTATTTGTACCTGTGGGTAGATTTGTTTGCAGCAAGCGAGATCAACATCCATCATGACACAGATGACAGAACAGATGTAACATGAACAACACATTAGAGAGAAGGAGAACTATTTAAACCGACTAAAACAAGATCAAAACCTACAGAAGTCAGAAGAATTATAGGAGGCGAGGTTCCACCAATCAGAGCGTAGAAGAGAGAGAAGTGTAAACCAATAAGGTCCATAAAAAACACAAATAATCCAGGATAAAAATATGTTTTTTGTGTGTTTTTGCTAATATAACTACAGCTTGTTCACTTCTGTGATAGCGGCAGGAACAAAGCTGCTTTTGTTTCGTTGGTTCTGCACCTTGGGACTAAAATCTCCGTCCAGAGAGAAGGAGCTGAAAATCACTGAGCAAAGAACGGGGATCATCGTTTATAATCGAGGTAGCTATCCACTGCAACTGTCTCATATACAGGGACGTCGCTCTGTGACTCACCAATCAGACAACTTGACCATTTAAAAATCTGATTTAAGGAATTTCTATCTTTAAAGATGTTTGACCGAAACCATGACAACATCTATCTTGTACATCTTGCTACATGTGTCTCCTGTGAATACCAGCCTCCACCACCGGACTGTGTCGTCCTCATTCAAGCACGACCTGCTCCGACCCACCCATATGCTCTTTAGTAAGCATAGTAAAGCATAAATCATTCTCAATGCATTATGGGATGTTTAGTTCATAGATAGACAGATAGATAGACAGACAGATAGATAGATAGACAGATAGACAGATAGACAGATAGACAGATAGATAGATAGACAGACAGATAGACAGATAGACAGATAGATAGATAGATAGATAGATAGATAGACAGACAGATAGATAGACAGATAGATAGACAGATAGATAGACAGATAGATAGACAGATAGACAGATAGACAGATAGATAGATAGATAGATAGATAGATAGATAGATAGATACTTTATTGATCCCGAGGGAAATTCAAAAACTCAGTCATGCACACAGTCTTGAACCTTTGCCTTTTCTCACGTTTGTTTTGTTTTTGCCCAATCAAATGTTTTATTGTCACGAGCATTGAGGTAGCTGGTTGTCATGGCAACAGGCTTCAATCTGTTGATATAATGATTTTGTGAAACTAAGGATTCATAAGGATTTTGTGAAATCCTTAAATATCCAAAAGAGGATTTGAATGGGAAAATTAACTTCCGGAACCAGAGCTGCCGAAAAATTGGGCGGTCACTGTTGAGCTCTATGGCTATTATAATCTCTTTGCTCTCGTCTTGCTCACCACAAAAACAAAAAATACTTGTCTTCAACTTCAATTTAAATTCCTAATGTGTCCGCCAATTACAGCTAAGTAGTGATTGGCAATTAAAAGGAGCCCAGTGTAAGTTCAAGCAGGAAGACTGGTTATATTCTCTCACATTCATTTGATTTTCTTCATTCAGTGTAGCCCCTCCCACTCTTCCTCTCCCCCCCGTCTCCCTGCTTTGGTGATCAGCTGATTTGGGGCGTTTACTCTGTAAGTAATCAACCAACCCGACTCTGCCACAACCTCTTTCAACCAATCATCCTGCTGCTGTCAGATTTTAAAACCTCTTCTCTCTCTTCACAGTCAGTCTGTCATTTCAGTCGATCTGTGACCCTCCTCCATTCCAGCTCAGCAGTGTTCAGAGACAGCCTCAGAAACCCACTCCTCATCACATCCTGCATTCTCCTGTCACCACCACCACCATGTTGGCGTCTTGCACCGAGATAAGAGTTGAACAAAAACATCAGGAATGGCTAAACTGCTGTTCTAAACATCAGCGTCTGTACTTTTTATGCATATAGATGCTGTATTGTTTTCTCACATACAACTAGTTTGTGTGTTAGTTTCACAGCACTTTTTACAAGTGGCTAATGTTCATGTTCGAAAACAGCCACATGCAAGAGCTACGCTGACACGAGCTGTGGTCGCCATGTCTTTGTCTTTGACCAACCACTGAAGCGTTTTACTCAGAAGACACTTTGAGCCTCAACAGGATATGCTGTGAGGTTTGAGGTGCGAGTACAGAAGTGAAAGAAGAAAACATCTGAGAGCTGACCTTATTGAAGGCGCACTCACACTAGGCAATCTGTACTTTGCTCAAGCATGCGTCACCCCTAGTCCAGTTTGCCCTCAATAATAAAAAATAATGTTTTATTGAGCTGCAACTGTAGCTTGATGTAACTCTGATTACAATTAAATGACTATAAGGGAGAGAGAGAAAGAGAGAGCGAGAAAGAGAGAGAGAAAGTGAGAGAGAGAGAAAGCATAAAGCAGAAACAGTTTAGGAGATATTCTTGCATGCTAGTGGTTAGTTCACTGTGCATTAAAACTTTTAGGTGTTCTGCCTGTGGTCAACTTTTTGTCCACACACACAAACAAACAGATGAACACACATTCACAGTCACAGCTGAAGACCAAGTCATGCATGGAAACTCAAGTGCCGTTTGTGTTAGGCTTCACATCGAGGTGTGAATACAAAGAGGCTTTTTTCTGTTGCTGCACTCTGTTTGAATCTCAGGAAGTTCAACTTAACTTTTCTATTACCTTCTTTAAAGTGAGAGAGCTATAATACTTTTTATTAGAAATAGTATCACAACACCAACTCAGGTTTAGGAAAAGGCAGCAATGTGAAGTATTTTTATTGTGTTTTTCACCAGCCAGAGGGAGGTGCTAATCTCTCACTGGTTTGTACCTGCTCTGTTTGGCCTCAACAGAGATATGTAGTGGAGTTTATGGCTTCATAAAATAAGGCTGGCTGCACACTAGACAGCTACCTTGGTAAGTCTCTGAAGACTCTTCAAATAGTACAAAATGCTGCAGCTGTAGTGACCAAAAATAGGAAAAGGCATCACATTTCTCTTTTATTGGCTTCTTTGCACTGGCTCCCAATAAAATCTAGAATATAATTTAAAATCCTTTCCTCTCTTACAAAGCTCTGATCAGGAAAAATCTTATCTTAAAGAGCTGATAATGCTGTATTACCTTCAGGAACATTACGCTCCCAGAATGCAGGTCTAAGTACGGACTCTGAATGTACTATGGGAGGTAGAGCTTCAGTTATCAGACCTGCTCGTGGTACAGTCTCTAAATGTACTATGGAGGTAGAGCCTTCAGTTATCAGGCCTGCTCGTGGTACCTACAGTCTCTAAATGTACTATGGGAGGTAGAGCCTTCAGTTATCAGGCCTGCTCGTGGTACCTACAGTCTCTAAATGTACTATGGGAGGTAGTCTATCCTAATATTATTTTGTAACATAACAATGAGTAACGTCTTTACCTGCTCTCTGTAAAGCGTCTTGATATAACATTTGTCTTCAAGTGTTTTGGGGACAGCAAGAACAGACCAGACAAATAGATTCTGAGATTTTCCTGGGCACGTGCAGCTCAACCAGACAATGTGTGTCGACATCCTCGTTCAAATACTTTGGCTTCAAAATTGATGCTTTCACAAACACTGGTTGACTTCAGTGTTCATACGTATGCTTCTTTTATACCGAGTGGAAAATACTAATGAAAACTGTAGTTAGTGTGTTTCCACTCAGCAGCAGGTACAGAAACCCACCATGAAAACTTGAAACAGAAGCTTGCTGCTTCTATTGTTTCATGTGCTTTAGCTTGAATTTCCACTGTGGTTCTAAAGTAATACCCTCATAATGAAGGCCAATCAGATTGCCCTGTGATTGTTCCCTCCTACTTTATATGGTTCTATGAAGGAGAAGCAGCTTCTCATACGAGTTCATTCTACTGCTGTATTAAGTGGACGAAGGAGAAAATGAAGTCTGTTCTTGTTTTTCTACTGACGCTCACACTTGTCGTAAGTTTATGTCCAATCTTCTCGTCTAATTCTGATCTTTTAAGGGTTAATATGTTTTATTTTTAGCACAGAGCATACATGATCTTTCTCTGTTGTTAAACACTGACATATATTTATTTTCTTCAGGATGCACCATCTATGAGAACTTTGAGACAAAGACTGTTGGTGTTGGAGATGATGTGACTCTGACGTGTCCTCGTGATGCTTCTTGGTATTCAACACAATTATTCTGGCTCCGGCTCGTTTTTGGTGATTTGCCTGAGGTTTTGGGAGAACCAATGCCATTGATTCTGACCTTGTTGAAGAAACTCCTGATTCACAGCAAAAAAAGAGCCTGGAACGTTTGTGTGATTATTAATGGAGTAAAAGTCGGCGACACTGGACTTTACTTTTGTGTGAAACAAGAGGGTATTAAAATGACAGTTTTAAAAGGAACATTTCTGCAGATTAAAGGTAAATAAAATGCACTTCAACTTCTTTAAAATAATACCTAACACCATTTATACAGCAATCAACCAAATGTCCCTAAATAAGGAAAAAACATACAGCATACTTTCTAGATGTTTTTCTCTTAATTCTAAACTGCAGCTACTTTGAATATTTTTAACAAATCCAGCATATTTACTTTGTATTGAATTTATTCAGGACCAGAGCCCAGTATCACCTCAGTCGTTCAAGACATTTCACAGGATCCAGTCCACCCAGGAGACCTGATGACTCTGCAGTGTTCTGTTCTCTCTGAGTCTGAAAACAACACATGTCCAGGAAACACAGAGTGTTCTGGTTCAGAGCCGGCTCAGATGAAAATCATCCCAGTGTCATTTACACTCATGGAAACAGACCTGGAGGATGTGAGGAGAGTCCAGAGGCTCACTCTCCACAGAAATGTGTCTACAGCTTCTCAAAGACCGTCAACTCCTCCGACGCCGACTTATTTCTGTGCTGTGGCCGCATGTGGAGAGATATTGTTTGGAAATGGGACAAAGATTGACATCAAAGGTAACTGCAGAGCATTCAATATGAATCATTTTTAACATTCATTTTCAAACAATTGAATCCACCTGGAAGATTTTAGTGAAACATCTTAACACAATATGTTTTTATATGTTTTCAGGAGCCGACAATCAGACAACCGTAATAGCTCTGTTTCTGTTATCAGCTGCTTTGGCTATAAGCTTGATTATTATAGCTTTCCTGATTCATATCATCAAGACTAAATCGTATGATTCCAGCAAAGGTAACAGAACATTATCTCTAATAAATAAATAAAAGTATTGAGCAAATGTTAACTTTATAACTTTGTGTAAATTAAACGTTTACATCTTTTTCTTTTTTAATTGATATCACAGCTGCTGAAGTTCTGCAAACACATCCTGCAGCAGATCGACGACGCCAGCAGGTGAGATACTTCAGAAAAGATTCAACGAGAATCATTTGTTGGAATATTGTTTTGCTTTTTATAAGTTTATAGAAATATCTGCAGGCTCATCCTATTTTTTCTCAGGTAGCTGACATTACCATATAATGACCTGATGTTGTACGAATAACCTTACTGTCCCCTGATGAGTTAGCAACGCATGCTAACATTATTTGTCAGAACTACTTAGGCAGACTTTGACTGATTCACGGCGAGAAAGTTGTCCCCCCGTTAACCGTTGGTCGTTTATGCGGTCGTTTATACCGTTGGTCGTTTATAGCGCTCATGCAAACTTTCTCGCAGGTCAAAAGTTTCACCCTCATGTTGCTGTTGAAACTAAATTCATGATACATACTCTGCACAGCTTTATCAACAGCATACTGACTTCAAACTATTTTCTGTTATTTTCTCAGAGCGCTGAGGACTCGTTGGTTTATTATGCACCGACTTTTTCTAAGATTAGAACGGACAAAAGAGAGAAGAGAAAAGTCAAAGCAGTAACAGAAGAGACGATCTACACCGGGTCAGAACTCCTCCGACTGGATAAAAAGATGTGCTCATTTAAGACGTATTAAATATTTGATATGTATATTATAAGACTGTGGGGAATGTAAAATCTTACAGCAATGTGACCATAAGAAGAGAATAACCTTTGTAATGTTTTGTGTATGGTTTTACATGTTTTGACTCATCTGTGTTCAGTCATTGTTAGATTGGTTTTATCACCAAAGGTAGAGTATTAGCAAGATAAACAATATTTGCAGTCGTGCACTAAAACTGGACGGATACTGGAGTGCTGACTGTGTGTCGGGTAATGTTCAGTAACACAAGGTGCACTGTAGTGGGGACAAACAGTGGAGCAGCTTACCTCTGCTTGGTAGTGGAGTGGTCTCTGAAGCGGTTGCAGGAACACTTGTGTGGGAGAGAAGCTGGTCCGCTGTTTTTCTTTTTTTCTGTGTCGTTTTAAAGATGTTAACTTTTAACTTTTATTTTTGTGTTGATTCAAAGGCAAAGATGATTGTATTAAAGGAAAGATGTGTTTGAGGATTTATGTTGCATTTCTTGTTTTAAAGCTTTTTTGTTTTTAATAAACTCTGTATGACACGAGGACTGACTTGTTTTTCTTCTTCTACTGCAGAGTTTTTATAATATTCTTGACTATTTCTTTCATTTTTAATAAAGGTGTTGCTTTACAGTTTTTTCCCACTGCGAAAAAACAATTTTGCAAACTATGCTGGTTTTATCAAAATACACACCCAAACTGCAAAATACCTCATATGTCCTGCAAAATGAAGCACTGCAACCAAAACTACATATAGCATTATCAAAATCAAACTTTTGCACCAAATGGCACCACACTTCATTCATATTACCAGATTTTTGTCTAACCATCTACACACTGTTGGGCATAATGAAAAGCACTCTCATCTTTAGTATGCTTTGCCATAATACTAAAATAGTTCGAATTGTAGAAAATTCTTCAGATTATTCACATGCACAGAAATATTTGCAGATAAAGATAAAGATAAAGATAAACTTTATTGATCCCCCGTGGGGGAAATTTGTGCATTACAGCAGCTCAAAAAACAAGGGGGACGGGAATATAGTTATTACAGTTTTTTCCAATTGCTAACACACTAAAATGACGTGCATAGCACAATTATGTAAACTGACACACAGAGCAAAACCTCTTCTCAAGTCTCCAGAAGTCTAAACACATTTTCTGCTTTACACACATTTTGCAATTCAAAATGAGACTTTTTAAATGCACTGAACACGGTTCTCTGCATAAGACACAACAATCAGACATAAAGTCACATGTTTGCAATTTCAGAACACTGCCATTCAAAATGACACGACATGAGCTAATTAGCCAAACACCTCAATGGTTAATTGTTATCACTTCGATCAGGAAGTAAGCACTATGAAAAGACCACAAGTGAGCACCATTTTTTTTTACAACAACAAGGGAAGAGGTTGCAGAGAGAGGAAGAGGGAGGGTGAGAATGAGAGGGGGAGGAAGAGTGTAAAACTGTAACACATTTTGACTGGATGAAAAGTTTCTCCTTCCTGAAGTTCATGACCACAGCTGAGGGTTGGAGCGAAGATCGACCGGTTAATCGTAGGTTTAATCTTCCAGCGTAGTTCCCTCTTCACCACGACGGTCCGGCCCACAATCCTGCTGAGCCCCAAATGAATGGCCACCTTATGGTGGTGAAGGGGTTTGCATGTCCCTGTGAACCTGGAATTTGTGTTGTTGGGGGCATTACCCCCTGTTAGGGTCTCCTAAGCACATAGGTCCCAGGTGAGATCCAAACAAAGAGTGATTCAGAAACCTCCAAGAAGCAACAGAAGGGAACACAGATACCTTGGAAGTGAGAGACTGGGCCACCTCACTGGAGCCAGACCTGGGGGGCCTGACGCAAGCGTCTAGTGGCCAGGCTTTCCTACATGGGCCCAATCGGGTTCAACCCGAAGAAACAACATGGAGCTGCCACCCTGTGGGCGCACCACCTTCAGGGATTGCATGGGGGTCAGGTGCTGTGTAGACGGACGGCAGGCGTAGGAAGTGGTCTGGTATTGTTTATTTTGAATTTAAAGCTAATGCCCCGTGTTATCGTTTGATCTTTTTTATCTTCTTTATGTCTGACATGTAGAAGTTCACCAGCAGCTGATTTGGAAGTCACACCTTCTTCAGGCATGTCAGGAAGTGGAGACTCTGAACAGCATTTTTGGCCATCGCTGAGGTGTTGATGGACCAAGTCGCGTCCTGGCTGACGTGGGCACTTAGGTATTTGAAGCTGTGCACGACCGCCACTGTCTTGCCGTTAATGTTGGGCTTCAGCCTCCTGAAGTCGAGACAATCTCCTTCGTCTTCACCGCATGAGGATCAGGTTGTTGTCTCGGCTCCCAGTTCTCAACCTCTGTTCTGTAGGCTGACTTATTGTTGTTGGTGTTTCAGCCAACTAGGATGGTGTCGTCTGCAACTTAAGAACGAGGTATTCTTGTGGAGGGTCTGCAGTCGTGTGTGGAGGGAGAACAGTAGAGGCTCAGTACAGAACCCTAGGTGCATCTTTACCATAGACACAGTCTGTGGCCTGTCAGTGAGGAAAACATTGATCCAGCTGCACAGGAGTGTTAATGCCAGCGGATCAGTTGTTTGGCCAGGTTGTGGGGGGTGTTTAGGTTGAAAGCGGAGCTGAACTGAAGTGAATGAACAGCATCCCGCTGATCAAAGTGTGTCTGTGCAGTGGGGAGGACCATGACACTGCGTCCTCAGTTGTGTTGTGGGTGTTTGTCCAAGGAGAGTGGCATGTTGCTCTTGATGTGTACCAGAACAAGGCGTTCAAAGAACTTCATCACAACCGGTGTCAGCGCCAGTGTCAATGAGTCAGTGACCTGATTGCTGTCTGTTTTAGCACTGGAGGAATTGTGCCAACTTGAGGCAGGTTGGACTGTTGCCTGCTTCAGGGAGATGTTAAATAGGTTGGTGAACACTGCTGTTGGCTGTCCTGCGCAGTGTTTCAGGGCCCTTCCTGTAACCCGATCAGGCTTTGTTCTGGATGAAGTTGTTCTGAGGCGGTCTCACCTAGTAGGGGCTCAGCATCAGCCCACCTGGCATGTCCCCCTGCAGTCAGTGATGGGTTGTTGAGATTGTCTCTACAATCAAACCTGGCAAAGACGTGGTTCAGGTCCTCAGGAGAGATGAGTGGCAGTGTGTGTTGGGCTGCTGTTGTTGCCTGCATAGCCTGTTATGGTCTTGATGCATGCCACATGCGTCAGGAGTCAGAGCTCCTCTATACGCATTTTGTAGCAGCGCTTCGCTTGTCTGATTGCCTTCCTCAGTCTGGACCGGCTGTACTGTAGGCCACCTGTGCGGAAAGCAGTTCACAAGCCTTCAACAGGTTAACCATAGCTGCATTCATCCACAGTTTGTGGTTGGAGTGCATGTATTTCATCTCTGTGTTATATTG